CTTCTCCCTCTGACCCTCCCCCCTCATGCTCTCTCTCTCTCATTCTCGCTCTCTCTCTCAAATAAATAAATAAAATCTTTAAAAAAAAAAAAAAATCCTTAATATTAAAAGAAACTACCCAAACATTTATTCCATTTGGTTTACAGAACATCAAAATGAAAATCTAATGTATGAAAGCAAATAATAAAACTAATCTTGAATATTCTTTTTTGAAAAAGCGGTAGTGGCAGTTAGTAACGATTCTGGACATTTTTATGTCAGAGAATTTAAAGATTATTTGAATGAAGTTCTGACTTTCTTAACAACATACTTTTCTTCTCCTAGTTAAAACTGCCAGATACCAAATACTAAGATTTTGAGCAAGCCCTTTAAGCTGATGCTTGTGAGGGGTTAACTTAATTTTTAAATTTAACAAAACAATAATCTGAAAACAAAGAAGCTGAGACATCATCTATAAAACCCATGACTGGTGTGGCGGCAAGTGCTTTGCTCACCTCGCGCACCCTGGGGTGCACTGGAGACCTGCGCGGAAGGTGGATCCCGTGGTGCATGAAGTCCTGGATGCACCCGTTTTCGATTGTCTGGAATGGCAAGCACAGTGTTAGTACTCAGTGTGCGTGTGCGCTCCAACAGATGACAGGACAGGCAGTGCGGCTGCTGGAGTCGGCTCTGTTCATCTACTTCATGAGGGAAAGCACCAGGATCCCCTGCTCAGAGCTCTATTTTAAATCTGTACCTGAGAATCCCTTTAGTTTTGATATTCCTTTGGCTTCTTCTATCTTATTTGATGAAATATCAAATCTGTGCTAGATGGCACAGCAAGCTTCTCCCCACCACTTGAGGCTAGTTCAAGCCAGATGGCTCAGGGACCGAGCATGGCCTGAGGGCCTCTCTTCTAAGTCATCCTGACCCAGAGGACCTCAGAGACTGGATCTGTTCCAACAGGCTCCCCAGAGCTGATGCTGAACTACCTTTAAGGTGGGGGCCAGGACTCCAAAGTGACTGAAACAAGCTCTTTCAGGGCTCCCATGGAAAAGGGCAAGGTTGGGGTGTGGGTAGCTCTTCGGTTAGCGCACAACACCCCCAGACCTCCAGAGCCGGGCAAAGGACGCAGAGCCAACCACTGGGAGCAGCCCAAATCACCAGTGGACCCTCTGGTCTATTCCCCTATACCCCCACACCTGGGGTCCCATGGCTTTAGGGAAGGACACAGGAAAGCCTGCTACTACTATTAGCCTCCTCCATTACCTCTGAAAATACTTCCTTCACCTGAAGCCACTAATAAATCTTAGCATCACTCCATGTGGGGAACCACACACTGACCTGTGATGAAATGGGGTACGTGGCACCACCTACTGGGTATTTGTGCCACAAAAGTTGAACCTTCAGAGTTAACTACCAGAATATAGACATTCTATAGGACAACTGACCCAGTTTCTTCAACATTTCCATGAATGGCACAAGTTTTAAAAACAGAAAAGGGGGGCAGAGAGGAATGCTCTGAGAGAGTTAAATGACATAACAAACAAACATAGGAGACTTATTGGATCCTGAATCCAAAAAAAAACCTACAAAAAGACATCTTTGAAACAAAGCAGAGAAATTTAAATATTTTCAAAAATACCCAGAAATTGTTAATTTTAAGTATGTTAATGGCATTGTATAACCATATTCCTTAGAGATGCATACTGAAGTACATAGATATGAGATATCATATTTGGAACTTGCTTTAAAAATCTGAAAGGAGGGAGGAAGAAAAGGAAGGCAGAGAGCCTGAGAAGTACAAAGAGCTGGCAATTTGGAACAGACTCAATCAAACAGTTATGTTTTTAACTACTAACATCCATTTTTTTGAAAATTGGGCTTTATTTATTTTTAGTGATCTCTACACCCAACGTGGGGTTCAAACCCACGACTAGACATCAAGAGTTTCACACTCCACTAACAGAGCCAGCCAGGCACCCTGACAAACATCTAATTTTAAAACCACTACTGGAGAAAAGGGGGACAAATATTCTTTCCTGTGAACAAGTATCATGCAATAATAAAACAATGCAGAAATGCACAGCAATGCCCTGGTTTTGCCCTTTCCTCCAAAAAATTTTACACTGTAAAATGATCGTGGATGTTGTCAGCAGGGGATATGAGTGACCAAGTTTTATCTTCTAGAAGTGGAAGTCAGTGATAAACCAAGCTCAAGCTGCACAGGAGCAGAGTGGACAGAAGGAAGCTCCAGACATCAGTGAAGCCTTCCCTGACCCACCAGCTCAGGGCCTGCTCCCTGAAGAGCAAATGCCCCTTTGACTTAGAGTAAAAATTTTACTCTTGGAAAGAAAACATGTTTGAGAACGTAGTATGAGGAAAACATAAAGGATATCAGACAAAAACACTTTCTTTTGATATTCTCCAAAAGGGCCTTGGAGTCCTATTGTGATGTGAATTACACAGCCACATCTTCATAAAGCAGATATTACACAGCCATTCAACATTAGCCGTATTCAAGACAAATGTCTTTCCCTTCTCAAAAATAATGTAACTAAAAGGTAAGAGGTAGTTTGAGGTTCCAGAACAGCACAGCCGAACAGAAACAGAACCCTAACCACAAATGCAATTTTAAATTTTCTGGTAGGAACATTAAAAACAAAAAAAAGAAATAGGTAAAATTATTTTAGTAATATATTTTGTTCAGCCCAATATAGCCAAAACATTATCATTTCAACATGCAAGCAATATTTTAAAAACACATTCAGAGATATTTTACATTCTTCTTTCCCCACTATGTCTTCAAAATCTGGTGTGTTTCTCACACAGCACATCTCAACTCACACTGGACACATTCCCAGTGCACAGCTGGACAGCACAGGTCTAATAAAGCTACCAAGATGATACAGGGCACATCTCAATGAGTGGCAGGAATCTTGTGTCTGTGACAAATTTATGGGAATGAGAGTGAAATCTCCGTCCCATGGAGTGTCATTATCTGGCTTTATTTTGACAAAGAGCATCAACACAGATTTTATTTTATTTTTTTTTTTATCAACACAGATTTTAAATGACTATCCATGACGACTTATTTAGTAACTAGAATACAACAAAAATAAATGTTAACATTTAAGAAAATGAAAAGAAAATACCTCCAATATTTTCCCTGAAGCCTTTTTCCAAGCTCTGAAATAAATTTCTGCAATGTGTACCATCAAAGATCTATGGGGGGGGGAAAAAGTTAATACAAGTTCAAACCATTAGACTTTTTTTTTCAGTTTATTTGTTTTTGTTTTTTGTTTTTTTTAGTAAACTCTACACCCAACATGGGACTCAAACTCGTGACCTCAAGATCAGGAGGGGCACACTCTTCCGACTGAGCCAGCCAAGGGCCCCCAAACAATCACATTCTTAACATGTGTCAGTTCAGACTCCCTCCTACCCCAGAGAAGGAGAAACGCCACCACAAACTAGGTGCCCTGCCAAATACCTACAGAGACAGGTTATCTACCTGTGGCAGGAAGGAGAAAAAGGAAGAAATTTTGAGAAGGGGAACTGAAGTATCAAATGATTTTCTTCCTCCTCAGTCAAGGTTTCCCCAGATCTTTACTATTTTCTGTGAAATTATGAGAACATAAGCCGAGAACCAAATTCTTTTTTTTTTTTTTAAACATTTTATTTATTTGACAGAGAGAGACACAGCGAGAGAGGGAACAAAAGCAGGGGGAGTGGGAGAGGGAGAAGCAGGCTTCCCGCGGAGCAGGGAGCCCAATGCGGGGCTCAATCCCAGGACCCTGGGATCATGAACTGAGCCGAAGGTAGACACCCAACGACTGAGCCACCCAGGCACCCCTGAGACCCAAATTCTTGAGTAAAAAAAATGTTTAAATTTATAAATAAAATTTTGACTTGGGAGTCAATTCTGGACTTCCCAGACTCCTAATTCCCTAAAATACAGAGTTGATTTTTAGAATCAGTTTAGAAATCTATTGGTTCGACCCAAATATTTTGCCAGTGAGGAAACAGGAGGAGAAAGCATTCTAGCAAATAGCAGGAACTGTGTCATAGGGATTCAGAGTCAAATCTCAGCTCAGTACTTAAGCACAGCTAGCTACCTGACAGGGAAACTCAGCAACCAAGCCCACCCTCGAGAGCTGAAGGATTCCATTTGAAAATGCACACTAAGTACTCAGCTGCAGAGCAGATTAAGCACTGAGCCCACAACAAACATTCATTTGCCATGACAGCTCCAAGTGCTGTGATGTTCCAAGAGGCTGGGAGCTCAGGCTTGTGAGTATATCCCTAGACTCTTACCCTGCAGGACTCTTCCCATCAAATCACATAGCTCAGTCTACAGTAAACTGGAAAGTAGACATTACATTCAAATGGTATCAGAAGTGCTGGAGACATGAAATTTACTGCGCCTGAAGCTAAGATTTAACTGGTAAATAATTTGACTACTTAAAGAATGAACACAAATTAAAATCTTAAATTCAACGTCATTACTGAAAAAGAATTATTTCCTATAGCAGGGAAAAAACTATCCAGTGATACAACACTACATAATACATAGTAAAAACAACAGCACATAATAAAAACAGCACATAACAAATAATATAACCTAAGAGATAATTTTTAAAGCTTCCAATACCTTAATATAACTTTAAAAGTCAAGTCAAATAGAATATTTCATAATCAGATTAAGACAGCACAAAATATCAATTGCCTTTAATACTTACTTTTGTAATCCCTGTAACTGGTTTTTAATGGTCTCATGGATCATTTTAATAAAATTTATATTCCAATTGAAGAGAGAACTAAGAAATCTTCTTCCCTATAAATTAAAAAAATATATATATATAATGTTGAAATTGCAACCAAGTAAAAAGCTCCTGATAACTAAAAAACAAACAATTCTTTGGATGTTCAGTAACACGAAAGTGTTATTCCCAGTGAAGGAAGCATATGTAATTGTAACTCAGGACAGCAGTCGGGGCCTTTGAGTGACAGAGCTGGGCAGCAGGGCAACGGCAAGAAGACCTCCCCTCTGGAGGGCCTAGCAGCAGACACCACTGACCTCCTTCTGTGCTCGACCCCAGATTGTACAGACATGTAACATGCTGCCCAGCAGCTGAATTAAACGGTCCACAAACATTTCATTCTGGCTCTATCTACATAAGCTAAAATCAAAGAATGCTTAAAACCTAGCATTTTGGGGTGGAATGGAACTGAACGTCACTTGATTTCATCTTTTATAAATGAGAAAACCGAGGACTTGTGAAGTTAAGAGGCTAAGTATCTGCCAAATTAGAATTTTCAAATACACCTACTCCCCATGGTAATTTATATGCATACTACTAGATGACACATGACCCTCAAAAGCAGTAATACCATACTTACACTCTATACAGCATATAAAATACATCTACCAAGAATTTCCCCGCGAACATCATCACCACCTCTTCCCTGTTACCAGTCGACCACTACTGTCTCTGAAATCTACAGAAATTCAACACACTTTGATACAAATAGCAGGGTACCCATGCTTGCAACAAGTTAAAAACAAAAAGTATTTACTGTAACTTGCCATTATAGCACAAGATATTTGTCATTTACCCAGAATGACTGGAAACTGAACTAACCAAGTAAGGACTCATTAGGAAACTAGTTATCATAAATTCAAAAGACATCAATCAAAAAAAGGGGGGGGTGTTAACACAGACATATATTTACGTCTTTACTACCTACTCGCATTCACACACACACAAGTTGATGTGCAGGTCACCACTCACTATGTACAGGTCACTATAAATAGAGCTAACTTGTCTGAACCCACTTTCAGCTACTTTGCTGTCCTCACATTCGATCACAGTCCTGGAGATGCCAAGGGCACAGGCCTCAGGTGCAGCCTCTTTTCCAACAACAAGGATGCAGTGATAGCAATAAGCAGTTAGAGCACCTTCCACATGCTCAGTCCCTACCAGGTACTGTGCTAAAGGTTCTACACACGTCACCTCGTGTTCTCCTCAGGAGTCCTGAGAAAGATCCACTGTGGTTTCTATTTTACAGAAGGAAACACCAGGTTCAAAGTAGTCCGATCAAGGTCACCACCTAGTAAGTGAACAAACAGGGATCTAAAAACAGCCCTTCTGGCCTGGGAGCTGAAGGTCTTGGTCAGCATGGTCAGTAACCACATATGGCCCTTTAACCTAGCTGGCTGGAGAGGGTGCACGGGAGTAGGCAAAGCATGACCATGTCTTTGCCTCTGACTAGCTACAGGACCTTGAACAAACTCTTCATTTATGGGCCTCAAAACTGGTTCTCATCCTCCTGCTCCGAGAAGTCTTTCCCCACCTACTTCAGGGAGGAGTGACGACCTCTTCCTTTTGCTTCATGCGTGTCTGTGAGGCAACGAGCAATCAGAAACAAAACCTATTTTCTGTAATATCAACAACAATCTTCTTTGCATCCCTCACATGGGAATACAGTCAATGTTCAATAAAGGACTACATAAGAATCCCAAGATAACAATTCAGAACTGTCCAAGAGAACTATGCAAGCCACTCTATAATAATTTTTAATTTTCTAATAACCACATTTATAATAAAAGTAAAAAAGACTAATTTTAATATATTTATATAAGACAACATATCCAAAATATCATTTAATTATGTAATAAGTATATACAAAATTGTTAATGAGCTATTTTACATTCTTTTTTCATAGTAAGTTTTGAATCCATGTACTTTACACTGAAGGCCACAATTCAACTGGCCATAGTCCACGTGCTCAGTAGCTACATGTGGGAATGACCACCAAAATGGAGTGCAGCAGTGGCCAGAAGCTTCTCTCTGGGTTGACTAGATGGCAGGAAAAAAGAAATCGAGAATATTGCGTGATGATGGTTCTGAGTAAATGCCAATTAGCCTGGAATTAGGGCAGAGGGTCGGGTCTGATCTACTGGGAAATGCTTTCTCAATCTTATTTTTAATTTTTTTTCTTTCATTGAAAAAAGAATTTTTTTTAAAAAATTTTGTTAGTGAACATACAGTGCAATGTTGGTTTCTGGAGAATTCAGTGATTCAGCAATTACACGTAACACCCAGTGCTCATCACAAGTGCCCTCCCCCATGTAGCCCATCACCCATGTAGCCCATCCCCACCCAATCATTCTTAAAATGCAATCACAGTTCCCCCAGGATTCACAGCCACCTATTACCATCTGATTTAATGATGAAATAAGCAACGATTTGTAAAATGTGTGAATATCGCTATGTGGCAAAAATGTGCAATAAATGTAACAACTCTTGATAGCTAGGCTGACTCTTTCATTAGAACACTGAGCATGGTACAAGAGCAACTAGATGAACTTAGGAAAAACATCCATTAAAAAGCAGTACACAAAAACACCAAAAAAGAAAAACCTAGTTACCTCTTCTTTCTTGATATATCTAACACTTATGAAACACTCAAGTAGCATATCTTTAATTTCTTTACTTTCCTCTAAATCATAATCAAAGCAATATAAAGCTTGATGAATACGCCAAAGCCGACATATGTCCGCACCCTAGGAATGACATAAAAAGGAAAGATGTTAGTTTTTTAATAAATAATTAAGGTCGCATTTCAAATTTACAATAAGAATATATGATAAATAATCACAACTCTGGATTATTCATCAAAAAGGAAGAAACTGTTGGGGCGCCTGGGTGGCTCAGTTGGTTAAATGA